GGAGCTGAATAATGAACAAAGCCAACTCACTGACGGCATAAAACGGGAGAATAGATTTAGGAAATTAAGGGAGGCTAATTACCTCAATAGGGAACCATGATGTGGGGATACAATCGAGAAATGACATATAAAAATCAAAGGATTTTCAACCCGTCGGACAGCCAACTTCTGAGGAGGCTATTTAACGCGGGTAGCATCTTTACAGAAACTCAAGTTGGGTGACTCGTAAGAGGAAGTCTGGCGAGATGAAGAGAAGGGGGGCAACATAGGAAACAAGTTTACTCGTCAGTGGTATCATCATTGCTCGCGACTTCCTCGGCTGGAGCGGAATCAAATTCGACAGAACGCCTTAACTTCGACACGGGGGCGCCTTTTATTGTACCCGAATTGTTGTAGTCTCCTGCACCATCAGATGTGCGTCTTTTCGAGCCAGGTCGTCGTGGGCCAGTTACGCCAGCCGCAGACAAATTTGCGACGACGCCAGTTTCATCAAGCTCCTCGTCATCGTCATCGAAATCATCCTCTTCATCATCGTCACCCTCTACAGATTTTGAAAAAAGAGCGATGAAAAGTAAAAACACTAAGAAAACAAAGGTTTGCTTACCTGGAGGCGCATAGTCTTCTTCGTCATCCTCAAGCTCTTTGCTGTTCTGGAGTGCTTCCAAACCAACCTCCTCGTCGTCTTCATCATCTTCGTCATCGTCATCGTCATCCTCATCTGCTTCCTCATCATCCTCATCACCAGCATCATCATATAATTCCTCAGAGGCAGCACAGGCTGCAACTTTCCGCCGAGCAGGTGCACGTCGGCCGGCCTGAGCAGACAGGTCATTGGATGTATCTTCAACATCATCCTCGTCTACATCATCATCATCATCTTCATCTGCATCCTCTTCAGCTCCATTTCCGGCAGACTCTCGGGTTTCACCTTTTAAAACACACAAATTAGGTTGACAGTTGAGAAAAAAAGCTACGAAAAAGCACTGACTTACCATTAGCTAGCTCCTCACCAACTGGCTCCTCAACATTATTCCTGTGTAAAGAAAATTAGCATGATGTTATAACTCACTCGTCAAAGCCATCCAGGTATTTAAGATGCGGTATGAGAGCAAATACGTCCTGTCGATAGATTTCAGACTCGGGGATTTCGCAGTTGCTAAGATCAAGCGTACGTAAATTTAAGAGTTTGCTAAGTGGAGTAAGAGCCTCAATAGATTTTATCTTGTTTCCTGATAGATTAATCTGCTCAAGCTTTGGACAATTAAGTAGGGAATCGAGACCCCCGACGAGGCGATTCTCAGCCAAGTCAATCTGAGAAGTAAATTAATCTGTTACAAACCTTCCTGAGTTCTGGGAGCTTTGGAAGATTGTTTAGGGATTGGAGTCCAATATTAACCAAGCTAAGCTGCTCCAGTGTTTCATACTTATCAGTCAAGCCCTCAACTTCTGTGGCCTTTGAGTTGTCCAAGTTGAGCTCTTTGATCTAAAAAATTGTCGTACTAAAAAGGATGATTAAAATTTACCTCCGAAGGTTTGCG